TTTTTTTCTGTTTCTTCCACTTTCTGCTCCTAGGAGGAAGACAATCTGCTTGCTGGTGGTCAATGGAACTGAAAAGACAAAGTGTTTTAGAACTCTTGAGATTAAACATTGTAGCTGTTACTTACCTCTTACTGTTTAGAGCGAGTTCGTGATTTTAGAGGCTGAAGGTTCAAATGAAAATAAAACGGAGAACCAAACAAAACACACCCCTGTGATCTTCTCTATAGAGGATTCTCCCTGAAGTTCCTTAGAATTCATTGTCTTTAGTCCTCATGTCCAAACTGATGCAGCTAAAGATGGTAAATAGCCTGGCATTTTTGTACTGACTGTTTCAGAGCAAGCGTTTTCTGACCGAGGTCTTGCCTTGCGCTTAGGAAGTTGTGAAACAGATACCAGCTTTTTCTCACAGTATTTTAAGAGATAAGCAAAATACATGCCTAGTGGTAACAGATGTTTCCATTTGCAGAATATAAACACATTAGGAGACATCTGTTTTCTCTAAATGGAGAAGTCAGGAAGTGCTTTCTACAAATGCTATACTCTTTATTTTTCACCCCTCTCATGCATTCCTGTCAAACATAGGCCTTACAGTGACCTGACCTTGGTATTTTGCAGCTTGTAACATTCATCTCTGAAAAAAGCAGGTAGGAAAAAGACAGTCTGAGCAACAGCACATCAGACAAGGTTCCATTGCAGTGATCAGAGGGCACTTTTCATTTCTTTACATTCACAGCACAGATCAAAGAACAAATTATTGAATCACAGTTCTCGCTTGGTGGGGGGGCAGGTGTAACGCCAGTTACAGAAGCCCAGTTTGCCTGATGTGCCTAACACCTTTGTTGTCTTCTGATTCCTGCAGTCAGCTCAGCGCTTGTTGAACCCAGAAATTGGGTGGACAGCATGAAGTGATTGAGCGTACAGCATGGCCTGCTGGGCGCCGTTGCCTCTTGGTATGACAAGGGCCTTTTCTTTCAAAAGCTGAAGCGTTTTATTAGCAGGTTAGCTTTGGACTTCACTGGGAAGTTTTAAATTTAGAATTTTGTTAGGTAAATATGTCCAGTTTTTATATATTGGGATGGAAAACAGTACTAAAATCATCGATTTCTCTTGAAACATTGTATAAAACTCCGTTAGGAAGCATCTCAGATCTGTAAAGCAGAAGGTTAAAACTCAGCAAAATGCTGACCTCCTCAAATGTGCTTATTTGAAGCAACTCTGACTTTCAAGACTGTCCACTACTGAGCCAAAGAACTTCTGCTGATGCTTCCTTTGCAGCATTTTAAATGAGAGCCTTCACATACACCCTGAGTTGCCACCAAGATATGCAATCTGATGCTTGCTTTCCCCCCCCCACCCCTCCCTTAAACCAGCAGTGAACGGAATTGTTTATAACATGGAAAGACTGGGGAATGGAGTCCACTTGATTACGCTGTTGGTGAACAGCGATGGATTATACAGGATGAGTCGACTGTATATTACCCCTGATGGCTTCTTCTTTCGAGTTCACATTCTAGTTGTGGATACTTCAAACTGCAGTAAACCTTGCCTGGACTTTAAACTCGGTAAGTATTTCCAGCTAAATCCATTCCACTATTCCTCCTGCGTGCAGTGCAATTTTAGTCTGCCCTAGTTTAATAGGCTTATCCTGGGTTGTGATAATTTTGAAAAAAAAAAAAAAAAAGTAGTATTTATTCTTAAACCGGAGGGCTTTTTCCCTCCCAGTTTCTCTATGTTTTCAGAAGAGAACCAACTGCATGAAGGTCAGGTAGCAGCACAGTCCTGTCTTAACTTTATCCAGTTCCAAAATGATTGTAAGAGTTTTCAGCATTGCCAAAAATATTTAAGCAGGAGCTTAAGCTGATGTCTTTGGAAGTATTCCAGTTTTCCTTCTAAGTGCAAGTTTATCAAATACCAGTATTTCCCCCCAAAAGCTGCTAACTGCAGTACAATACAGTCATCATTTCCAGGCAGGCACAACCCACAAGTCCCGCTGCAGCTCAGGCTGCTGTACTAAGCCACACGTTCCGGATAAATTTCTGCAGGGAACAACTTCACATCTGTTCATAAATCCGCTGCCCTTGGAGCGAGCGCAGGGAACGAATCCGTGCTTTCTTCGTAGCGCAGAAGCCTCGTTTATTTTGCAGGCAGCAGGTACATTGTGATGGGCCGCATCTACCACAAGAGACGAGAGCTGCCAGCGAACCTGCTGCAGTCCCTGCGAGGCCGCCTGCGGCCCGGCGACGGCTTGCTCAGGAGCAGCAGCAGCTACGTGAAGAGATTCAACAGGAAAAGGGATCGCAGAGTGCAAGCGGCTCACGCGAAGTGCAGATGAGGCTCCAGTAACCTCCGTTCAGGACACGGGCAGCAGCAGGATTCACTCACCGGAATAAACCTGGCCGTGGTTTGGCAACAATGGGAAGTAGTTTCTTCACACTGGTTGCGACCGGAATAAACCTGGCCGTGGTTTGGCAACAGTGGGAGGTAGTTCTCTTCACACTGGTTGCAACAGGACACTTATTTTGTGCTTTAGCAAACACTACCGGAATGTTTTCGCCGGGTACTACGTATATATTGAAGTTTAGCACAAAAGTCGGTCTAAGGAACATTAACTGGTCGTGAATGTGCTCCAGCTATTTCCAGAGCCACAGGTTATTATTGCCTCCCCTGCTGTAACGTACCCCTCATCGCCTGTAGTAGTTGTGAAGTAAAACTCTGCAGGCGTTGTTCTAGGTGCACAAGAAGTAACTGCACTTTCAAACCCGTAACCTTGAGTAAAAGCTACACGATGCCACAGCTTTATCTATAGAGGATGCACAATTCCACCTCAAGCATCACACGCATTTGAATCAAAAGAAACCGACAAAACTAAGTGTCATTTATATTGTTTTGGTATCCTCGAACGCGTTGATGCTACTTTTAGAAATTACATCGTTCTTCAAACAGAGCTGGATTTTCACACGAAGCACACAAAATAGCTGTGTAGTTATTTGATATATGAATACATTAACTGAAAGCAAACCACGTAACTGCACAACACAAACGCCCAATTAGGCTTACAAATAACAGCACGAGTTCATGCCAAGGAATGCAAAATAAGCGTGCGATCGCATGCACCGCTTGTATGCCTGGTTGCACTGTCAGCTCCTTGAAAGTTCAGTCCTAGGACTGTGCTCTGAATGTCACCTGCCCAGGAGAAACATCACCAAGTTTGTATTTGCACATCAGTAAAGTTACTTTTTCAATCAAAGACAACAATCTTTTAGTACCTTTAATGTCATGGGATGCAAGAACCTATGAAACCTCTGCAGAGGGGATCTTAACATGGGCTGTTCCAAGAGTCAGTATTCACAAATATTTAAGTCTTTAAAATAAACTAATAAAACATTCATGGGGTTCTGGAAGATGCAAAGAGATTATGGAATGATATTAAACGAGAGCATCTTGTCATTTGACAAGTCAGATGGGGATTTTAAGATAAATATTTATATATTAAAAATGGGCAAATGCAGTCTAGCTTAAAATAATAATAATAATAAAAAATATATATACAGTGATACATATGATGTGACTTGGAACAGGAAGCAGTGGCTTCTGTAAGCATTTTCTGTTTCGAAGCAGAAGTAGTCCTAACACAGCTCTACTTCTCATACACGCCTGCAGCCTGAGTGGGTGTCACTGAAAAGGTGCTGGGCAGAGCTGGGCAGTAAGTCACCCTGTGTGAAGTATTTCTTGATATGGAATAGGAGCCAAATACCACAAGCAAACATCACTTATTTTGGGACCCAGAAGGCTGTTACTACAGGACAGAAATTTACTCATAGCTTGTGCCTACCTAAAAAAATACTGTCTCACTTCTGTTATGTGAAAAATTTCACACAGAGTGCATCATATATAGATGGAATTTTCCTGAGAGACTGTGAGGGGGCTTTTGATTTGGCAGAATGACCGTTCCTGGCAATGAATCAAAGCACTGGAGTGGACTGGGAGGGACAGGAGTAGGAAGGAGGAAGGTTTACATGTGCATCTCAAGTTTCTTTGTTTCTATTTTCAGCTTCAGTCCAGGGACTAACCAGCAAGTCCTACAGTCATCCATTTGCCCAGAACAGCAATTAAGCACCCTTCCCTGCCCCCAAGACATTACAGTAATCTAAACCAGGCAAAGCGTGGGTAGAAAAATAACATCCATGGCTACATCTCATTTTGATTGTCTCTCGGAAGAGATAAATAACAGTACACCAGTGCTAGCAACAGCCCAAGCCCAAGTAAAATGCCAATAACGGACACAGGACGCCTGCACAGCGCTCTCCGAGACAGCTATGGCTCTAGGAGCAAGCCTGAAGAGCGATTTAGGCTGTGTTCCCTTTTTGTTTTACAAAGTCCTCTTACCTTTCCCTTCTTGCTTGGAAGGTCACTCCTTAAAATGTTATTTTAACAGCTGAGCAACAAGCCACTGTATTTCACAGCCCGACTGAAATACAGCTGGAGCAGGAGCGAAACGACTGTTGTTACTTTCTGCCAGGCTTATCACGTGCTTACTAATGTAATGAAGAAAAAAAAAATCCCAAGATCAAGCGGATCTCCACAATCTTGCACTCGCTATTACAAAAACCTCACAGCATTAACCACACTTACATGCAATAGCTGTCACGGTAATTTTGATACCTTACAGTTAAATCATTTTTTCCCCAGCAGGATAAGCATGAAAATTCTCCAGCCAATACACAGAAATAAAGGAGTGCAGGAATATTGTTGTTTTCCTGTCTTCTTTCCAGGGGTTTACTCAAGGCTTTTCGGTAAGCCCAACTTTTTATTCTACTTTAAATACCTACTAACCGTTGCATGAACTAAATCTAGACCAAGGATAACTGCTAAAAGTTTGAGAAGACAGAGAGAAAAATCAAACTGGTATTGCTCACATTATCAAGATCTGTTTTACAATATATGACCATTCCGAAACAAATGTTGCAGTAATTTATAAAAATACAAAGAGGAGGATGACTGAACAGAGATCACAAATCTTAGGAACTTGCCATGCTTTTAAGGAAGGTGGGCATTCATTACAGGGGTGATATATTTCCAGTAACGCCATTTAACTGTAAAAGAACACCACTACTAAACCAAGAAAAGTACCTCAAACTACTCAATGGCAACTGAAAACACTAAAAAAAGGCTTTCAGCACGATTAAATTGTATGTACGATTATTTCCCTAATCAGCCTGATTCGCTGGCAACAGTACATATTCTAGCAAAGCCAGGAACTATACACGAAAACATTATCAAATGTTTCATTAGAAACACCACAAATCAATGTCAAACACATTACTTTATTTGTCTGGGATGATGTGTCCTATAAGGTACAAAAAAGTACTCTTCAGTTTGCCACAATTTGTTAAAAACATAGCAACCTATTGCCTACAGGTAGGAAAGTTTTAAATGACGTCATATATATATTTATATATGAATAAATAGTACAGAAATACTGTGAAGTTTTGATGAGATGCAGGATATGTTCAAATGCCGTTAAAAGCTGAGATTTTTCCTTTTTGCATTAAAAACACAATGCATACAATATGCAGCATTTTTTTTAAACGTCAAAGGACAACAAAACCTAAGTGCAACTACTCTTCTTTAACTTTAAGAAGCATAAATGGATTATTGTTTTCACACTGAACAATTATTTTTCATTTTCACATATAGGTTAAATGACAACATTTGTATGTACAAAAACCCCACGGTTTTTATTAGATAAAATTATCCCAGAAGAACCTGTACACCTGAGCCTGTACGTGTAAGAAAGTGTGGTCAGTAGCAACATCTTTTTAAGAAAAATAACAGGAGAGGTTCTTGCATAGCAAGGTGTGAGGTTAGACCCAAAAGGAGCTTATCCATAAATCAGGTAAATCCCAGATGACTGCAGAACAGAAGTTACGGGTGAATTAGTGCCAAAGCTAGTCAAATGTCGAAGAGCCACGGACGAACCACAGCTGACGAGCTACAGACAGGGAAGATGAGCAAGTCAGTTACACGGGCAAAGTTACAACGGGAAAGTGAGAGATGGGAAAGAAACAGCAACATCATCTGCGATTTGCGTCCGGTCGTGACATCAGCGTATCCCTCACAGCAGCACTCCTCACACGGGAAGCAGCGAAGCAGTCCAGAACGCCTTTCGAAGGTGTCATGACACTGGGCACTTTACATTCCCAGAGCTTGGCAAAGTATCACTTAATTCAGCGGTGGGCAGTGACATTTCACAAAATGCTTCCTACTATGTCATCTGTTACAGTAATTTTGGCACCACTGTATAAATGTTATAAAAGGAGAACAGCTGCTTGAGAATGAAACGTAGTAAACGCTCCCTTTGGAGCAAAATAAAGTCAGATCTCCCTGGCCGCTTCCCTCCCCTGTTACTTGAAATATCCGAACGGATCCCCAAAGTGTTACAAACGTATTAGCGCGCACTCAAAGACACCTACATCTGTGGGGAGAACAATTATCTCCATTTATTTTGTTTCATATACATCCATATTTTGAATTTTAATACAAAAGAAAAAAATTAGAATCTGACAAATGTTTACAAACAAGATACCTTCAAATAGATTTTACTCATTTCAGTCTGGTGCAGAGTAAATGACAAATTGTACTGTTATATTCAAGGCAACAGAGTCTGTAGTCCATGACCGCTTAGCCCAACTTTTATGCAAGCTTAATTGTTTTTATCTACCATGAATGATAAACTCATTGTTGATTCCCAGTTCTGTGTGTGTGCACATGTGTACATAGCAGCTCCTTTCATAGAAAGAAAAGACATCTAGAGGTCTTCTTGTACTTTTACCTACAGGAATCATGTTAAGATACAGAATGGATTACATGTAACCGGGGCTGGATTTTATAAGAAAAAATAATTAGCTGACAAATGAGGGCAGCAATAAAAAAGCGTCTTTTTTGCAACAATAAATAAATACAGTCAAAGTTTTCTGTGTGGACTTTAAACCAGCTTCTTCACTGAAGAACAGACGTGGCATTTCCATGGAGTTAAACGTGACCCCATTTACTGTATCTTTTGTCTTGCTCTCTTTCTCTCTCTCCTTCAACAAAACAAAGTTTTCCTGCTTCTGCCACAATAGTACAACAATTTGATCTTGACAAGGAAGTGGTGCTGCTGATTTTTATTTCTTTGTCCTTTGGACAAAATAAGCCAAGAATTATAATTTGACTGTCGTGACCAATAAAAACGCAGTTTACATTGAGTCTTGTCAGGATAACCTGACTAAAAACATCTGGCTTCTTAATTAAAAACTTTCAGACAACCAGATTCTTGCTCGTGTGTTAGGT